AAGCCTTAAGTCACCGCTCGTGCAAAAAACACTAATCTGTGCGAGGAGATCGCGTCCTAGACAAACAATGACACACCGAAGACTTTGGCTGCAAGGGACTTGAAGATGCCCCAGATAAACTACTTATGTATATTCCTTATGATGTCGATGACCATGCCCTTGAATTCCCTGTTCATGTTATTCATGTCATGGGCCTCAACCACAACCCCATGAGCAAAAGCACCGACAATGAAGGTGCAGGTGCTACCCGGTCACATGAGGATGTTGTCAAATAAGCAACCGGAGCATGAGAGCATCTCTAGCAGACCCCTTAAAAGCGGTCAAACCCGTAAAAAAAAGAGGTGTTTACAGTTTCGTTCGAAAAAAACGGCGCCTAGCAGATCCCGTAAAACTCATTTGGCCCTTAAACATTTTAAAGGCTTTGAAAATCCATTCGCTCGAGAACCTCATATGTACAGCTTCGAAGGCAGTATACATTTCAACCCATAAGCCGGTCAAACCTCGTCGGAGCAGACGCGCCTCTGCAGAACTGGCCGGAATCTACCCGAAACTCACCGGAATCCGTCGCCGCACGTCAGAAGAAGCCGCTGCACGCCAGAATTTGGTGCCGCCGGCTCGACCTCCACTGCCGAGGTGAGGCCGTCAACGGGTAGGGCGGAGCAGGACACCGGCAGCCCAAATCAAGGCGGAGCGGCGTCGGAGAAGGGCAGGAGGGGGGGGGCACCCGGGAGCGCACACGGCGGCGGCGGGCGGTGCCGGGCTCAATCGGGATGGGCAGGCGTGGCAGGGAGTGCACGGTCGGGGCGGGCGGCACAGGCTTCTCCACTGCACGTGTGGCTGGGAATGGGCAGCACCGGGGCGAGCCCGATGGGAGGAAAAAGAAAAAGAAATGGCTATAGTGGAATACAATTTTATTTACGGGGTCTGCTCTCCTCGGGGCAATTTCGCACCGTATAAATTGTTTACAATGCATCTTATACGAGTTTTCAAGAATGCATCTTATACGAGATGTATTAGAGATGCTCTAAGGCCACCCTTTGATAGCTAAGTCGTCGGTGAGCGCCTTGTTTCGCGCTACAATCTTTGCCACCGCGACAAATCTACGGCTGAAGCAGCCGAAACCGTAGCTCAAACAAACATGGCCTTTGGTTTGCTTCGCATTGGCAAACAACACATACATACAAATAATTACAAGAACAATTAAATAAGGATCAATGCAACGCCGAAAAGAATCACTCCACTGCTGTTGGTCCATCACTGTCACAGCCACCACGGCGATACAAAACTTAATAATTTATAGTGGCAACATATATATATAGATACACAAAAAGAAGAGGCATACGTGAGCAAAATGCACAGAGAAAAAAGAAGAAGACCAATTCACTCATCAACCGATCAACCAATTGATTCGATTACTCAATCAATTGATCAATCAACCAACCAATTGATGGATGGATGATGAGTAGAGATCATGAGTATTTGCAGGCCTTCTCCAGCGAGACGGGCTTGTTGAGCTTGGCGGGGTTCATCACCACCTTGCACTCCACCTCCTTGGTGAAGCGGGGCTTCACCAGCGCCCCCAGCACGTAGGCCTGCGACCGCACCGTCGTCCGCAGCACCATCGGCACCGGGATCACCTTGCCGGCGCCGCCCTTGCCCCCCGCCGGCTGCGCCATCAGCGTCGGCCCGCTGCCGTACAGCGGCACCTTGTTCCCCTTGACGTTCACGCTCGCCGTCCGCCGCCCGCTCCGCCCCTGGTAGAACTTCTTGAGCTGCACACACAGATGTGGTCAGTTTCGTTCTTGGATCTGGAGATCCAGATGGGAAGGAAGGAAGAAAGAGATGCAAGGCTTACGTCTCCGGCGGCGAGGTTGAGCTGGGAGTAGGAGAGCGTGAAGGGGTCGGCGGTGACGTGGATGCCGAAGAAGGTGCCGGTGTTCTTGTAGGTGAACTTGACGGTGGCGTTGGTGGTGGCCATGTCCGTCGGCACCAGCGACGCGTCCGTGCCCGCCTGGATGATGAAGTTCTCGAAAGTGATGCTCTGTTTTTCGTTTCATTTCCACCAAAATCAACCGTCAGCTCCAGATCCAAACGCATCAATCAAGAAAGCAAGCAAGAAGAAAGAGAAAGAAAGGTACCTTCATGGCGATCTGCGGCTTCTGGGAGCGGCTGGCGCCCCAGAGGACGAGGGCGAAGAAGGTGAAGAGCACCGCAAATCCACCCACAAAGATGAGGCAGTACTTGCAGCGCTTGGGCATGGGGCGGCGCTGGTCCTCCTCGTCCAGCAGCCCCTCCTCCTCAATGACCCCGATCTCCTGCCACCCCTTCCCCGGCGGCGCGCCCTTGCGCCCCGCCGACTTGTCCTTGTGGTGGGCACCGCCGCGGGAGAAGCGGCTGGAGGAGGAGTCGCGGCCGACGGAGGAGTGGGAGTGGCGGGGGGACGCCATGGGGCTGAGCGCGGGCGTGGAGTGCACCGACGTGGCCCCCTTGGTGGTGGTCTCGCCGTCGTGCGAGTCCCGCGACGGGCTCTGCACGTAGTACACCGAGCCGCGCATCACCCCACCGCCCCCGCCGGAGTTGGGGTTGTTGTTGGCCGCGCGCGGCGGGGAGCGCGCTGGGGAGGATGGAGCCAGGCTCGTCACCTCCGAGTCCGTCTTGGCGTGCATCCTGGCGTCCCTCCGGCGCTCTGCTGCTGCTTGGATCTGCTTGGTTGAGCAGAGTGGCGAGCAGGGGAGGAGGGAGGGAGGAGAGGAAATGGGGTGAGCTTTGATGTGGGAGGCGGAGCTGCACGGCAGCTCACTAAAGAAAAGGGGAGCGCGGTAGTTGGATTGGATGAAACCGTCGGTGCAGTGGACTTGAAAAGGGGAGGGAGAGTGGTGCGGTGAGGCTTCACTTTCGCGCGATTGATTGATTAGTGCGTGATTAGAGAAAGCGAGAGGAGGAGGTTAGGGATTGATTGATAGTAAATTGGTTATGGTAGGTGCATGTGATGTGAGAGGGAAAGAGGGAGAGAGAGAGAGAGGCCATGTGGAAGTCTGGGGGAGGATTCGTCGGTTGCGGCGCGAGGGAGGGAGGAGGAAGAGGACGGGACAGGCGACGCGGGGCTGGCATTGGAGGTGGACGGACGACACCGACGCCCAATTGCGTGCGCACCAGCTCAGCTCACTCACGCGCAGGCCCTAGGTACACAGCGGCCGCCTGTCTCCTTGCATGCAGATGCATCTCTCTCAACACTCACTCCACTGAGTACCTTGGGTCTTGTATCCTCGGTCCGTTCGCCTGGTTCTTTCACAAATGGTCCCTGTGAAAACCTTGCAGAATCACCAACTCCGAGCTAGCACACAAGCACAGAAAAAGGATAAACACCGGAGCATTTTGCTAATGTGTTCCCTGCTCATCTGTTTTGGACATGACAGTTCGTCGAATAAGTGTCCCTGATTTAGTACAACTTTATACTGAACCGACGGCATTTATTTTGAAACGGAGCAAGTTTTTTTAGAAAAGGAGGATGACCCCGGCCTCTGCATCTGAGAGATGCATGCGGCCATTTTATTGATTATTCTCGAGGACCTTACAAAGTAGTACAACAATATGTCCGAATCCGCCATCTTGGCAACCTATGCCGCTACTCCTATCCATATGATGAAGGAGTGCAAGCTGGGACATATACCCGGTCCTCTCACCTAAGCCTAACATCTAAAGCTGGAAGCCCCGACCGAGCCACATACCGGGTCCGGGGCACAATCCAGTCTGACGCACTCACATGTGTCGTCGCCACCATCTTCCACTTGTCCATCTTCAGAGCAGATTGACGTACCAACCTTGGCAGGTTCCTCCGCCATCGACGCCACATGACGCCAAATGACGACCACCACCTATGTCAGTCCATCTCCAAGCCGAAGGAGCGCTACCACAAGATGAAGACCGGCGGTAGAATAGATGAAACGTTGCACACATTGCCACCGCCAAGCACCTCACACGCACCGCAAAGCGTCCACCGTGCTTCCGGGAACCCGAGGCGACGCCTTCAAGAAGGAGCACGATGAGGGTACGGCGCCGTCGCCCACAAGGGGAACTAGAGCTTTCGCCCAAAAGGAGAGCACAGTGAAAGATGGGAGAGGACCTCGACAAGGCCTCCAAGAAGGGAACCGATGCCCAGCAAAGGCGCCGCCATTGTCGTGGCCTCCGCCGACGGCCAAGGGTTTCCCCCGGTCCCGCCCCCATCCCATCTACTCGGCCAAAGACCTGGCCAGAGGAGCGCACGCAGCCGAAGAAGGCATTCGACTTCATCGAAGCAGGCACACCGGGTGACGGGGCACCCCGACCCACTGTAGTAGACGTCCACCGAGACTTCACCGCCCGCGCGGCCGAAGTCGCGGACCACCACCACCCACGGTCGTCGCCCGCAGAGGCAACGCCATCCACACCACCCGAGGCCGCTGCCCCGGTATCCACCCACCGCACACATCCCGTCGAACCATGGAGAAAGACCCATACCGCCGCCACCAGGGAGCACCACACCGCGACCCAAGCCGGGCAGGACGAGGCAGGGTCACGCCGGCCAGATCCGGGCGGATCCGGCGAACCCCGGCTCACCAGCCGCCAGATCAGAGGAGCGCCCCGATCCAGGGCCGAGCCGGCCTGATCTGATGGGCGGCGCCGTCAGGAGGCCCCCGCACCGGATCGGCAGGGGGCGACCGCCGCAGAGAGCTGGCAGGAAGCGGGCGGCGGCGTCTTCTGATGCGGGGAGGGGGTCTCCAGAGGCCGAGGCGGGCGTACGGGGAAGCCCCGCCGCCGCCTACCGCCGCGCGGGCAAGCCCGGCGACGGCTGCTGGCGGCGGAGGGGGAGGAGGAGGGGCGGCGGGGAACCGGCGGGTGGCTAGGGTTGTGCCCCCGAGTCGCCCGAGAGCGGACGACGCGGGGGGAATGGGGGGAACAGCATTGAAACGGAGCAAGTACATGACGACAGTTCGGCACGCCTGGTTAACCTATAACAGTGATGTCGGAGTAATGGGCCGCGGGTAGGCCCACTTGAGGCCCATAACTTTTCAAGACATCGGGGCAGACAGCGCCCCTCAAGACCACAGGGCGAAGAGCCGACTCCTGGGAAGTCTACGGCAAGGCGGCCGACTGCTCGCTCACGGCCGAGTCCCAGGGGCGACTTCCAGAGAAGCCGGCTTTGGGGAGTCGGCCGGCGACTCCAACAAACCGTGACTTCATCGAGGGGGACGGGGCAGGGGCGTGGCTACAATGAAGCCCACTCCCCGCCCCTTACCAAGGGCAGGCATGGCTACAACGCGCCGTACTTGGGAAGATCTCCCTGCGGCGTGGCACTGTTGCCCAGCCGGCCCTGACATCAGCACCACTGTACCTGATCCTGCGCCCACGACGGCCTGTCTGTACGGCCTGGGGGCAGCAGGGGCCCACCAGTCAGCGAGACCTCAGGAGACGGCTGGAGAACCGCCAGTCGGGCCCGTCGGGAGTCGGCCCAGGGGAGTCGGCCGAGCCCTCCCCCGGGGCCCCACGCGCCATTAATCAAGAAGAGATGGGGAGTGGCCACAGTGATCGCCCGCCAGGCGGCGGGGCTGTTGCCACGACCCCATGACCGAGCTTGCGTCATCAGGAGCACGGCTACAGTAATCAGCAGCCGGCAAGACCCGCCCGCGGCGGACGCGGCCTGTCGGCTCTGAAGGAAATATGCCCTAGAGGCAATAATAAAGTTATTATTTATTTCCTTATATCATGATAAATGTTTATTATTCATGCTAGAATTGTATTAACCGAAAACATAATACTTGTGTGAATATATAGACAAACAAAGTGTCACTAGTATGCCTCTACTAGACTAGCTCGTTAATCGAAGATGGTTATGTTTCCTAACCATAAACAAAAGAGTTGTTATTTGATTAACGGGATCACATCATTAGGAAAATGATGTGATTGACATGACCCATTCCATTAGCTTAGCACCCGATCGTTTAGTACGTTGCTATTGCTTTCTTCATGACTTATACATGTTCCTATGACTATGAGATTATGCAACTCCCGTTTGCCGGAGGAACACTTTGGGTGCTACCAAACGTCACAACGTAACTGGGTGATTATAAAGGAGCATTACAGGTGTCTCCAAAGGTACATGTTGGGTTGGCGTATTTCGAGATTAGGATTTGTCACTCCGATTATCGGAGAGGTATCTCTGGGCCCTCTCGGTAATGCACATCACCTAAAGCCTTGCAAGCATTGCAACTAATGAGTTAGTTGCGAGATGATGTATTACGAAACGAGTAAAGAGACTTGCCGGTAACGAGATTGAACTAGGTATTGGATACCGACGATCGAATCTCGGGAAAGTAACATACCGATGACAAAGGGAACAATGTATGTTGTTATGCGGTCTGACCGATAAAGATCTTCGTAGAATATGTAGGAGCGAATATGGGCATCCAGGTCCCGCTATTGGTTATTGACCGGAGATGTGTCTCAGTCATGTCTGCATTGTTCTCGAACCGTAGGGTCCGCACGCTTAACGTTACGATGACAGTTATTATGAGTTTATGCATTTTGATGTACCGAAGTTAGTTTGGAGTCCCGGATGTGATCACGGACATGACGAGGAGTCTCGAAATGGTTGAGACATAAAGATCGATATATTGGAAGCCTATGTTTGGATATCGGAAGTGTTCCGGGTGAAATCGAGATTTTACCGGAGTACCGGGAGGTTACCGGAACCCCCCGGGAGCTATATGGGCCTTAGTGGGCTTTAGTGGAAAGGAGAAAGGGGCAGCCCAAGGTGGGCTGCGCGCCTCCCCCCTCCCCTAGTCCTATTAGGACAAGGAGAGGTGGCCGACCCCCCTCTCCCTCTTTCCCCCTCGGGGAATCCTATTCCAACTAGGATTGGGGGGGAGTCCTACTCCCGGTAGGAGTAGGACTCCTCCTGCGCCCTCCTCCTAGCCGGCCGCCCCCTCCCCCTTGGATCCTTTATGTACGGGGGCAGGGGGGCACCTCTAGACACACAAGTTGATCCTTGAGATCGTTCCTTAGCCGTGTGCGGTGCCCCCTGCCACCATATTCCACCTTGATCATATTATAGCGGTGCTTAGGCGAAGCCCTGCGATGGTAGAACATCAAGATCGTCACCACGCCGTCGTGCTGACGGAACTCCTCCCCGACGCTTTGCTGGATCAGAGCCCGGGGATCGTCATCGAGCTGTACGTGTGCTAAGAACTCGGAGGTGCCGGAGTAACGGTGCTTGGATCGGTCGGATCGGGAAGACGTACGACTACTTCCTCTATGTTGCGTCAACGCTTCCGCAGTCGGTCTGTGTGGGTATGTAGACAACACTCTCCCCTCTCGTTGCTATGCATCACCATGATCTTGCGTGTGCGTAGGAAATTTTTCGAAATTACTGCGTTCCCCAACAGTGGCATCTGAGCCAAGGTTTTATGGTTTGATGTTATATGCACGAGTAGAACACAAGTGAGTTGTGGGCGATATAAGTCATACTGCCTACCAGCATGTCATACTTTGGTTCGGCGGTATTGTTGGACGAGACGACCCGGACCAACATTACGCGTACGCTTACGCGAGACCGGTTCTCCCGACGTGCTTTGCACATAGGTGGCTTGCGGGAGACTGTCTCTCCAACTTTAGTTGAACCGAGTGTGGC